GTAGCTATAAGAAGGAATACAACAACATTTTTGCTCATCACGTTGCAACCAGGTTAATGAGATTCCTTATCTGTAAATGCATTGATTCTTTAAAACGACTGCTGGTTGTGTTGTTTGTCTTCCTTTCAGACGACGTTAATTACGCCTGCATTGTCTGTTGGCAAGAGGCAGACATTCATCTTTACAACACAAAGGTCGGGACCTTAATGATGTACATAGTCGGACCCATTATGCTGCCAAGCACTCAGAAAAGCTGAAAAATGTAGACGGTGCTTGATTACTGTTTCAGTACACATCAAGGCAACAATGAATAATGTGAATAAGTACTACAGTACGCATCCACACATTAGCAACTTCACAGTTTTCCGGAAATGATGGTGGTCAACGTTTCTTCTGACTTCCTGAAGGCTTTTTGTTTTTGTTTTTTGTTTAGGTAATGACTTTTTTTTTCTGTACAGACAGAGCTACCATGCAAAGTCTAAAATAACAGAGGTTCTTTATTACCACTTTAATACCATCCAGGTCAAGTGATTAACAAAGGAGTTTATTTTTTCAAAGACTCTTGTTCAAACTTCTGTCTTATCATAGTTTAAAAGCAGTGACGTATTTGTTGTTTGCTAGTGAACATGAATACTTAAACACCAAATTAACTCGTCATATTCCGTTTTAATGGTGTTCATTTTATGCATTGGTTTGATCTTTAATAAAACAAAGTAACAAAAGGAGCAAACTAAACAGATTTTTTTAAAAATATACACATTTTGAGAAATGTAACAATTCTGATTTTGCAAATTCATTTTGACTTTTTTTTTGTCAAAATGGTCAAGATCGTATAGGTGTTCATTTGTGACCTCAGATGTGTCGAAGATCACAGCCTTAGTGACCATTGAAATACTGAGTTAAACTGATTAAATAAGCCTGAATTAAAGTCCAAAAAATGTAAGAATGGCTCAATAGATTTGCAAAGTCGTGCCAAAGTAATCAAAGTATTGTCCCTGCTTAATTTCTTTATTAAATATGCCATCAAATTTAGTTTTCTAAAAGATGTTTTATATCTCATGGGATGTTTTGATTTTAGTATTTGAAACAACACATTGTTTCCAGTGTTTAACTTTTGACTGGGTCAGTTTGGATCTTTGTCAATTTATACTCACATTTTACTACTGACAGATGCTTTTTTATATATATTATCCCAACCAAAGTCCATACACAAGCTTTTATATTTGCATGTACAAAAGATTATTATGTACATTTTCACTTGGTAGTTCAGCACTTTGATGAATTATAAAGATTAAAAAAAAACATAAAAAACTGAAATTGCCTGCACAATTTTGTTTCTGTTTATTGTACAGTGGCTGTCATCCCAAATGTGATATGATTCATAGAACTGCACAATAGCTGAAAATCTTTTATTATTATTATTATTATTATTATTATTATTATCATCATCATTAAGTCCTTTATTTTATTTCCTCCAAGTATAAATAAGAATCATTAAAGTAAAAAGAAACATTTTAAACAGTTTTTCCCTCCTTCGGGAAGACGACGACCAATTATTTACCTCTTTGGTTTGTTTATTTTCAAACTGCAGGAATCATTGCTATGTATAATTTAAATTAGAGTCAAGTTTCTGGAAATTAATTATAGCTGTCAGATTTTTGTTTACCATTAATAATGCACTGTAGGCTGCGAACAATAAATCAACATAAACAACATGAAACTTGTCAGGAAAAATATATATATATAAGTGAAACATGACTACTCAGCTAAAAAAAAAAAGTATATTAATTTTACTGAGCTTTTAGTTAATGTTAAATCAGTGCAGAAAGAGAGCAACAGGGCGTCCCCTATGGAGCAATCAGCATGTTAATACTGCAGCAAAACACCTTAAAATCCTCCCTTGCATTGGAGCTCATTTCGGATACGCTAACAATAGCATTTAATTAGCGCACACTTACACCTGAGCATTAAGACTTTAAGCAGCAAAGTCTCTGTTGTTATTTCTCTCGTCTTCCTTTTTAATTATTCTGAATTGGCGTCTCGCTGCGATTCTCTGGGGCTTTAATTAGGAACTGAATTAAAGTTGTGTAAATACAGTTGGAACGCTGGAGAGTCTTTAAATAGAGCCGTGTTGCATCTGCAATTTCAGCTTCCCTTTTTTTCTGGAAGAGAAAACATTCAGAGTCTTTTGAAGTTTGTCAAATCGCTGCGGGCTTTTTCTCCCCGAGGTGATCCCGCAGATTGATACCGTTATTTTTCTCTCCAACGTCGTCTGCGACACAAAAAGCTATTTCTGTAAATGAGACTTTTATTTTTTTTTTTGTTTTGTTTTGTTTTGTTTCTCTAAAGCTGTGTGAAAATGTGTAAAAAAAATTTGTTTGCACCCCTGCGTCTCTGCTTTCTCGCGCGTCGATATACTTTTACAAATAAAGGAACTCGGAAGCGTCACGCATAAACTCACCTGCCCGTGGATGTGTTTAACGCCTGATCCTCCTACTCCGATTGTCTGATTTGCTTTGAAAACCAAGAGCATGAGATTCGCCTCCCATTGGGCTGGATAAAATCCAAACTAAGTGCCTCGGCCCAGACTGCAGGCTTCTGCCTCGGAATAATAATGGGCTCTTTCAGATGTGTTTGTCATCAAATTAGCCCTCCACTTCAGACAAGGTGCTCTCAGAGAGCAGTTCTCGACAGTGATGGAATTCAAATTAGGCCGAGTCCGTTTGAGCGTTTTAAGCTTGAAACAAAAAAAAAAAAAGAGAGTGAGAGAGAGAATGAGTTTAATTTGCAGAGGTGATGTACGCAGTAGGAGGTAAAAAAAAAAAAAAAAATCACAGCGTTCGGGTTCATTGCAGCACTTTCCGTCCCGCGTTCCAGCTGCTCTTACAGCGATCTATGTCTAAAGTTGAAGCTTTCCAAGATTACGTGTGTGCTGTCAAGTAATTTTCTCCTGATCAAACGCTTATATTGAGCATTTCAAAAGTACAGTACAGCCAGACTCTTTAGCACATCCTGGAAACCTGATTCATTGTTAGTCTTCCTGCTTTGAATTTTTGTCTTCGAGACACCCAGGAGTTCTTCCTGCCTCTCTCTGCTTGACATGCTCTTCCTCTTTGATACCTTTGATCAACCCAGGAGGGGAAAAGTTGCCTTGAGAAGCACCATCACTCCAGCACAGCAGGGGGACACCTTGAGCAGGAGGGAGCGCAGAAGAAGGGATGGAATTTCCTGTTTTCTTCCCCTCTGGCACAGTCTGTCTCGCAAGCACACGCTCTCTAAAAGGTTCAGCAATAATTGAAAGAGTAATTCTGGACTCAAAATAATTCACATGAAAGTGATGGGTGTAAACAACTATTTTACCCTGGGTAAAATATCGGTGTACAGGTGCTGCGAAAAGATGTTTGGCCTTTGCAACGTTCGACTCTGGTACCAGTAAATGTTTCTAAACATCTTGATCCCAAAGATTTTTGAAAAAGATAAAAACTTCTCAGGGCTGATGAGGCAAAAGTGAAGTCTTGTGTTTTGTTACACTTGGTTTAAAGTTAACACAGCATTTCAATATCAGATCATCATGCTGAAAGCAAAACACAGTGGTGATAGAGTGATGGTCTGGGGTCAAAATGTTGTTTCAAGAACTGAGAGATTTCCAGTTTTTTATATAAATTACTAGAAAACACTGAATGTCTGGCAATCAGTTTCTATGATCTTATCCTCGAGAGCTCTCGGGTTATGAACAAGGACAATAATCTGAAGCATGTTAGCAAGTTCACCTCTGAAAGCAAAAAAAGAAGAAAAATGATACTATGATGATTTTGGTATTGCCAAGTCAAAGTCTGGACTTCAGTTCATCCTAAAATAGCCTTAAAAGTGACTGAAGTCAAATAATCCTGCAAAGTTTTGACAAATAGCACAAGCCTTTGATTGCCTTTTTTTCTGTTAAATGAATATATTATTTAAGTATCGCATTATGGATTGACTGAGCTTGCTTTTGAAGAGATGGCAGCACTATTGCCTTGTTGCAAGTAGATTGTGAGTTTGAGTCCTGGCCTCCTTGCTGAATGGACTTCACATATTCTCTCTCTCTGTGTGTGTCGGGTCTCTCTGGGTACTCCAGCTTCCTCCCACAGTCCACAAACTTGATCGTTAGGTCAATTTGTTTCCCTAAATTGCCCTTTGGTGTGCGTGCACCGTTTTCTCCCATGACAACCGTGCACAGGAGCACTTTGTGTTGCCTTGTGCTATATAAATAAAATTACCTTTACCTATGTGTCTGTGTGACCTCCCTCTCACCCAGTGACCGCTGGAGATAGCCACCAGCTTCCCTTCTGACCTGCGCAGACAAGTGGATGAATGGATGAATATTTTAGTGAGAATAATTCTACTTTCACATTGGGAGCGTCGCTGCTGAAGATACATGGCCACTAGTAAAATACTGAAGTCAGGAAGATCGATCATCTTGCTGCATTGTGTTGGATCGCAAAGTTGCACGAACGTGAACACACCGGCTATTCTTAAACAGATAGAATATTTATTTTAACTCTGTGAGGTGAGATCAGTGCTTATGTTGGGGAAAAAAAATAAAAGGTATACAGAAATTCGCAACTGAGTATAATGGGGGGCTTTTTTTATTATTATTTGTACATACTAAAACAAAATGGGTTAAAATTGCAATTGAAATGGTTGAACCTTGAAGACATTTGTATAAACTACAGATTCCTCTGACAGAACATGTACTGAAGGAGTTAAACTTTAAACTCAGAGCCCATGCATCCCACTAAATGATGGATTTTGCTTAAAAAAAAAAAAAAGTCTCCAGCTTCACTCCAAGTGAGTGCATCACTTTTAAAAGAACTCCCTAATCTCATTTCCGAAAGAAACCCAACACATGCAGAGGAAGGCTCTAAATGGGCAAAAAAAATATATATATATCTTATTTCCAGAAAATGTATGGCGGTGAGACGGGGGGACTGAAATAGCTTCAGATTGTCTGTTGAGCACAAGCAGGATACTTTGTAATGGATTGTTTTTGTCTGGGTGTCGCTCCTTTTTTTTATTTATTTATTTCTTTTTTTCTTTTCTCCCCTGCAGGGCTGAAGCAGATCCATGCCCTGTCCATCCAGGGGAACTATGAGCTGCGCATCGACTTGGAGGACTTTGAAAATAGCACAGCGTACGCCCATTACGGCACCTTCGGTGTGGGTCTCTTCTCTGTGGACCCTGATGATGATGGATACCCTTTGACGGTTGGAGACTATTCTGGCAACGCAGGTATGCGTCTTACGTAGGCTCTCGTTTTCTTGCGAGTTGTGCCGTGCTTTTGCTATGACAAGACTCTTCAGACTGAAATGTAGCTACTGCTAAAAACGGAAGCAGGGGACACCTACAACCGGCTCCTCCTCCATTCTCCCTTCAACTGTGATAGCAGTGCAGTATTTTTACAGCGCAGGAGGCGTGTCCACTGCTTAAGGAGTGCAGTTTGTTCCACACACACACACACGCACACAGAGAGGGAGGGAGAGGTACAGAAAGTGGTGTTGTCTCTGCTCCCTAACCATCAGATCCAAGCCAGCTACCTGTCACCTTGATTAAATTACTGGCAATTAATTGCACAGCTTGACCTGCAGCGTAAACAAAAACCTGCCACTGAAATGAAGAAGCAATTTAAGGGTCCTGTGGGGAGCACCGCTTCGAGAACACCGAGAGAACGGGGACAAATATGAGAGACGCAGAAGGGAGGAGTCGGGTTGGAAGGAAAAGCCAGAGGAAGCAGGTGTACCGAGAGATGAGCTGGGCTAAATAAAAACCCGGATAGTTCTGTCGACAGTGCCTTGCAAGACTGTTAATGGAACACGTTTTATTGGGATTTTATCTAATGGATAGCTGTGAAGTGGAAGAAAACGATGCCTTGTTTTTTTGTTTTTTTTTAATTCTTTCCAAATAAAACTCTGAAAAGTTTGACCAGCATTTTTGTTCCATCCAACTTCATGCTGAACTTAGCATAACATTCATAAACTTTACTGATTACCTGTATGATTCATCCAATATCTCGGATTTGATTCAAATATATATATACCTCTCTGTCTGAGATCATCAAATCAAAACATTTCAGTGGTCTTCCAAACTCGCGACCGTGGATTGCGATGCCCAATCCTTCCTGCAGAGTTCAGACGTTCAAATAGCAACTAGAGACATTCTCACAAATAAGACTTTTCGCTAAACCTGAGCTGTTACGACATAAACTTTTGCTTGCTTGCTTCAGTATTCGCAAAAAGTCCTGTGTGATTGCAGTCCATCTATGCGATTTCAAGCTCCCCAGACACCATGTTGGCTTCCCTCCAGGTTTTGCTGCTATTCTTATTAGCACCATTTGCTGCTGCTGTCCTTCTCTCCGATCAGCCGACAGGTGCTCATTTGCACCGTGAGCAGCTGGATCGTAATGGGCATCAGAGGAGGCTGCCGGCCCCCTCAAACCACCAAGGTGACACCCGGTGCCTTGTAAATGAGCCTTTAAGTGCCACTGTTGTTTTTTTCCTCCTCCCTACGCCCTCTGGACATCAACCTGTTGTTGACACCACTGGGGGCCTTCCCATCTCCCCTTTGCTCCGTTCACTAAATATTTTCCTGCTAACGGCAAATTGGATGGGAAGACGCGAATACGAGGCGTGCCGTGAGGTTATTTTTCCGTCTGAGAGGGTTACCATAGTAATGCCAAATGGGGAGTGTGAGCGGGGCAGAGCAAGAGAGAGGGTGGAGGAGCTTCACAGCCCCAATCCGAGCAATTAAGTGCCGTTTGATGCCCTCTCTGGCTGCTGTTAGTGATCACCCGATGGCTGGTAAGCAGCCTTTCCTTCGGCTCACAGCTCTGTCCTTCTTTTCACTCTCTGGCCCCCGATGTGAAGTCAGCTTTGGAAATAAAGGGGAGAAAAGAGATGAACGGAGCAGCGTGGGGGGAGTTCATTGCACATTATGAGCTCTTTGAACATCCATTTGCGAAAAGAAATCAAGAAAATTCGGGCTTACTGCTGCATCTCTGAGGACGTTCCTCTCATTTTACTTGTAAGTCTTTAAAAGCAGGGGCTTTTCGGAGGCGGTTATCGTCGTTGAGAAATTGCCAGCGAGAAATCTTTATGTGGTGGGACGATGTTTCCAGCTCAGCAATTTGATTGTGGGGATCAGACTTAGCATCCAGACCATGATTAAGGGCACTTGGCTGTGCCGCATCCCTGCAGTGGTCTTACATCACTGTCATATTCACAATCGTGGGCTGGAGAAAAGCGGGCCCTCTCATTGATTATGCTTTTAAAGCTTTTTGTACCAGCAGAAGGGGGGGGGCGAAAAAATGAAAGATGCCCTGAAGAATGAAATCAAGATATGACATTATGCCTCTGTTAAAACATTTACATCAAAAGATAAACATTAAAGCCTCTCCGAGTGCCACATATCCAGACGAATCCATCAAGCGTGTGTTATTAAAAGCCATAAAGGTCACAAAAGAAAGTTTGATGAATTGGCTGCCAAGTGGCCTGACCTCCCGCTTCAGATAATGAGAAGAAAATATTCTTCAGAACAGTGGAGCTCTATTTTTATTTCTTTCATTCTGTTTACCCTAATGGGCAATTTATTATTTTTGCCTCTTTAAAATAACTGTGAATATATGCAATCAGAATAAGATCAAAGAAAATACACATCGTGTTTCCTAAGTAGTCATGAGCGCAGCTCCTCGCTAACTTCCCCACATTTAGTCACATCACAGCCCTAAACTTTATGTGATGCACCAACTCAAAGCTATGTATGATTGTAAAGTGAAAAAGGGTTAAGGTTAGGGTTGGGTTGGGTTTTTGTTAAATCACTATACAGTTCAATTCAAATGGGTTATTTAGGGAACCAAAGAAAGGAAACTGACCTCTTACTTTGGTGTCATTTACAAAACAAAACCCCAAAAGCAGGTGTGACAACACCTTGTATTATTGAAATTGACAAAAGTAAAATCAGTTAATGAGACCAAAATGTAGCATTTTAGCCTACATGCAAAATGCTTCTTTGCTTTGGAAAGCCAGTCAGAGGTGGTAGGAAGTGGATATCTGTTTTATACAGGACGATGCAAATAAAAATAAGAGTGTTTTTGAGGCATCCTACGGATTTGAAACCGGGATGGAGGTCACTCTTCCAGCACTGCATACAGCCACTTCAAAAATGGAAGAGTTTGGACCAGTTTAAAACGGCCCAGTCAAAGCCCAGACCTGAATTTTAACAGCAATCTATGGAAACACTTACAAGTTGCTTTTTATAGCTTGACCAAGCTTTTTTTTTTTTTTTTTTTTTTTTTTTGCGTAAAAATTGTGAAAAACCTTCATCCTATTCCTTCCACTTTCCTTATTAAGGCCACTTTGCATTTGCACACCAAACAACACCTGAGCAAATTGACGTTTGTGGCGCTAACTAACGTGACAAAACGTCAACAATCAAAACCTTCTGCTTGTTTTCAGGGGACTCTCTTCTGAAGCACAACGGCATGAAGTTCACCACCAAAGACAAGGACAACGACCACTCTGAGAACAACTGCGCCTCGTTCTACCACGGCGCCTGGTGGTACCGAAACTGCCACACCTCCAACCTCAACGGCCAGTACCTGCGCGGCCAGCACACCTCCTACGCCGACGGCATCGAGTGGTCCTCCTGGACCGGCTGGCAGTACTCCCTCAAGTTCTCGGAGATGAAGATCCGTCCCACCCGTGACCCCGACAATAAATAAAACTCATAAACAGGAGGAAGAGGAGAAGACGAGATGTTTTCTGGATCATTCAGAAGAAATATATATATTAAAAAAAATAAAATTAAAAAAAAAACATGGTTTTTGACAGATTGAATTACGTGTCTTCACATTGTTTATTATTTAAGTTTAGTTGACTGCAGTTGGCTCCATAGCTTCCTCCTCATGTCTGTTACTGCCATGAAGTTTTCTTTACGGAAGATTCTAACCATGATGCCCGTAGTTTTGATACTTTACCTTATAAAACGGCAAAACCGAACCCTGAGCCCACAATCTACTTTGCTCTTTCCTCAGTCTAGAGATGTGGTCCAGCCCCTCTGCAGTATCATCATACTCTCTTGACTTTGACCCCCAGCCCAAAACTTTAGGAGCTACGGTTGGAGAGAGTTCAATCGCATAGAGCGGAACAAGACCAGCCCCTTCCCAAAACGCCAGGCGAGGCGGAAGATGCACATTCTTGGGTTTCATCTGCGTGAAGGGAAAGCTCACCGGTGCACTTTGATACATTTACATCCCTTATCTGTGTGAATGAGACCCAGCAGGGTCGTGGCAATGAGAGCGCTTCCTCAAATAATGAGGAGAGGGGGGGGAAAGACAGAGAAGAGGAGGAAACGAGCTCACAGGAGTTAAATTGGCTGAAGGAAAAGGGGGACGGAATGCATCAAAGGGGACGAAAGGCAAGCAAGAGGAGTACGAGGAGGCACAAAAAGAATGAAAAACGAGCACAGACAAAGAAAAGAGACAACGGAGGATCTCGTTCGTCTGACGTAGGCCATTAGGGAGCATATTGGGCACTTTGTCTGATCTGCCTGCCAGCTGAGTACCGGCCAACCGAGGCAACATCGCAGATGGAAACACAGCACTTTTTGTGTGCGTACGTGTGTTTGCGCGGGTGATCGTGTGTGTGTGCACATCTCTGGCTGAAAAACAAACAGACAAAGCTCTCTCTAAGACTCTGTTTCCTGTCAGGAAGTCAGAAGAGTGACTTGACTGAGCACATTGTAAAGCACATGCATGGCTGGCGCACCTTCGCTCCGTCCACATACGTGTCCGAATTAAGAGAGGAAAGGTCGCGTCAGATCGGGTTTATAAAGAAATGGAACGATTCCCACTTTCCCAACTCATCAGACTGCCCTCTCGTTTTCAGGTGTTCAGTATGAGATTTTTTTTTTTTTTTCCAAATGTATTTTGCGCACGTAGCTCGTTTTCTGCCGTCATGCAAATGTAGAAAAGAAATTGATTATCAAAGGGGAGAAAAATCTTTTCCTATTGTCTGTTTATTTTTTGCTTTATTGGGTTTTTTTTTTTCCTGAGTTCAAGTTCTGCAGTTTCTAGTGGCAAAACTCAAAATTGCCTCAAGCTAGAATGAAAAACAAGAGATGGGGAAAAAAAAATTACAAAGCCATCACATTGGTAAAAAAAAATTGTGCAATCCCTGCCCTGTATTTTTTTTATTTATATTTTATTTTAAGCACTGTCAATCCTTTTTTTTTTTTTTTGGGGATGTAAGAAAAGCTTTAAAATTTCTGTAGATTCTACTGTACAGCGTGTATGACTTTCAGAGCATGTGAAACATTTCTTACTATGCGAAAACACAACGAGAGCACACGGACTTAAGAAAATCCACCTGTGACGAAGAAAGAACTTTTCCTACTCGTCCCCGTGGTCGGCGGTGGGGACTACTGATCTGAAGGTTGAGCACAAGGAAAGATGAGGGTTGTGATTATCCCTCAAGCACATGCTATTTTTTTTCCCCTTCTTCTTCTTATTCTTCTTCTTCTTCTTCTGTGAAAGAACAATGCAAAAGCACGTTTCAATATTTGGGAACATTAGCGGCCTCGCAGGACACCTGCGACCTTCTACTTTTCTGGATTCTCTTCTTTTGGACAGCAAGACTGCATTGCGTCTTGGAATGTGCGCCGAGTTTCATGTGTAGCACCAAGCAATGTTGCGTTTGAATACCTCTGACGCTGGACCAGCTGTGAGTGTCTCCGGACGTCGCCGTCACGCCGCGCCCCCGTGCTTTCTGTGGCGACATCGGCACGTAAAATGCTGCCCAGTCACGACTCAGTGGACAGCTGGCCCCTTTCTTCTTCATCAAAAGCACAGACACTCATGTTATAAAAAAAAAGAAATATACTGAAAAGATAAAAAAACCGTTATTATGGCACAGAGTTTGAGGACTGACTTTAAGTTTGTAAAATAAGGCATATAAAGAGAGGGAACTGGACTGCGAGTGTGAATGTATACAAATATTTGTGTGTGTGTGTGTGTGTGGGTGTGTATGTGTGTGTGTGGATGTTTCTCTGCTTGACAGCATGTGTGTTTGTGTGCATCTGTTGTGTGTCTGTGTGTACACATGAACAAAGAGCATCTAAATGAATTTGAATATCCTTGGAAAGTAAATTTTCTTTCAGTTGTACAATTTTGAAAGAAAAAACAAACAAACTCTTATTTCATAGATTTAATAGCCACAGAGTGAGAAAATGGTGTTTGTGTAAATTTTGATAAAAAATGGCTGAAGGCAAATGAAAACTACAATATTACATAAGACTAATAAGAATATTCATTTTTGAAAAAAATTTGGCCCTACTTAAAAGTACTCCTAGTCAATAAGTCAAAATATTATTGAAAAAGTATATTTCTGTAACTCGACCCACTAATTCGAACACATTATATAGATTAACACTTAAAGTGATGTTTTCATGTCTGTTATGCATTTTTTTTTCTTTTTTACTTGACAGGTAATGAAAACGCATTTGAGACCACAATATTACATTAGATCAATAAATGCATCCTTAAAAAATATTTTCGAAAGGTACTTAACTTTTAATTCGACAAATCTTATCAGAATGCATATTATTACTAAATATGATTGCATGTCCACTCAGGCCTCTTTTTGCATGAATTACTGCGTCAGCGCAGCGTGTCATGCTACTGCTGAGGTTTTAAGCAAGCCAAGCTTCCTTTGATCTCAGCCTTTAACTTGTCTGCATTGTTGGCTTAGTGCGTCTTATCTTCCTCTTGGCGACACTCCATGAATTCAGATGAGTTTGCACAGTGATGCCATTGTAATTAAAGGAGCTGTCGGTCCGTTTGACAGTTTTAGCAGGCGGGTTCATCGGGTTTCGGTAACCGAACGTGAAAAGGATTAGAAAATGATTATGTGAAATTATTACCAACCAAAGGCCAGCAGCCAATTTAAAGAAAGGACAGGGTTGGTTTACTTCTTTCTTCTCTATTTGAAGATTATTAGTAGTATGCTCAGAACAAATTGGTGCACGTTTTCCTTCCTCACAACTTTCTGTTAACACGACTGAATACAACTCTAATAACGGCCTGTTTAAAAAAAAAAAAAAAAAATGACCTTTTATGTCTTATGCTCCCTGTGGAGGATGTCCATGTCTGCTCAACAGCCTTTACCATTATTGGGTAGGCAATAACATTATACATCATTTAAACAAAAGAAATTAAAAAGTTATTAGTCCTGTGTAATATTCCATTCCAATTACCAAAATTAACAGAAATGTCTGACATTTCATCGAATCATTGAAATGTGTCCCTCTGTGTAATGAATCTATACGAGAGTTTCGCTTTTCAAATTGAATCTCTGAAACAAATCAACTTTTCAATTATCATTCCAATTCACCGCGTTGCACCTGTAAGGCACATGCTGTGGTTTACACATGCCGACGCGCGTGAGCCGGACCAGAGAGGAGAACGGGAGGCGGAGTGTGCGTCCCGGCGTGGAGCAACGTGACGCTTCTGTCCGACTAGCCTCCCTCTGCTGTTTGTGTCGATAACAGAGAGATTTACATTATTATATTGACCTATTAGTTATTGTGATTGTGAACACCACCTACTGGTTGCTGTGCTGAACTGCGCCTGTACCTCTGACCCCCCACCCCCACCCCGTGAACCCGCGCCCCCGACACGTTGTGTATATGTTACTATGTTCCCCCTTGTTATTTACATGTGCAGACAGCTATTATTTGCCACGCCCTGATCTGTTTTTGTTGTGCGAATGCCTTCACAGTCACTTTCCCTCTCCGCTAGCTGCTGCTGCTGCTGCAGCTGCTGCTGCTGCTGCAGCTTGCTGAGTCTCCAATGGAAGAGGAGATGAAAGAGTGAAATCAGAAGCTCCAATCAATCCAAGTTATCCTGCTCAGTACAGAGCATCAATGCCCTCCCACTGGTGCCCAAATCTTCTATATTTCTTAGTGTGTTCCTACTTAATTGCCTTAGCCTCTGCTGCCAGCCCCACCCTCCTAAATTTTCTGGGTTTTTTTCCTCCCACCCTCTACTGCTGTGTTTTTCTCCCCGTTCCCGCCTCCGTTATCCAGGCCCCTTTCCCTCCATCCTCCGTTTCCTTCATTCCCAGCGCAGAACTAACTATGTTTTCTCTTTCTGTTATCTTTTTGGTGACGTAAAATAGATTGTTTTTGCTGAATCTTGATACTGTGTTTTAATGTTCTTGTCGACATTTAATAAACATTCACATTTTATAATTGGGGAACAGCATGTGTTTTCTTTTCAGTCTCTCTTCATGTCTGTGCCTATTTGAATGCATTTGGGGTTTATTTATTTATTTTTTGTTTGTTTGTTTGTTTTTTTAAACTAAGCTACCTAGCAAATCTAAATAAAATATTTTTCAAATAAAAAAATCTTGATGGGAAATTTCGACGTAATTAACTTCAAATGGGGTTAATTAACCTTGTCAAAACTTAAGAAGAATATCTCTGTAACTCTTAATTGTTAATCTGAACCATTAAAACTTTCCAATAATGAGCTTAGAACGTGTTTTTGTTTTGTTGATCTACCTGTGTGAGACCGTTATCAAGATTAATCTGTAGTTATTCAGGAGAAATGATTAACTTCCATTTAGTTATCTCTTAAATCATGTGCCACCGTAAATAGCTCTATAAATCTAATTTCTCCCAGCTGGTGTGTAGCAGCGTTTTTCTACTTTTTTCTAAGCAAGATCTAAGGATTTTAATCATAAAGTCATTGTCATTTAAAAAAGGTAATCTTTTTTCATTTCTACGATGTATGAGTATATCACAAAATAACAAATTATGTGATCTGTGGGTTCTAAAGTTATGTAAATCTTACTTTAAGTGTACAAAAATGCATAACCGAGGCTAAAATGTCCATGTTTATTTAAATAGATCATAGCAGAAATGGAGAAGCTGTGTTTGACAAAACAAAGTACACTTTTGCTACTTGCTAATAAAGTAGATAGTCGGGTCCTCCTAACTAAACCAAATTCTGCTGATAATGTGATTATTTTCAACCTTGAGGATCTCCATTTAGTCAGGAGCTACGGCGAAATGCTGGACTAGAGAAAAAAAAGTTTTGTTTCAACACAATATGCACAATATCTAATTTATAGCATTTTTAAAGAATATGGTCGTCCATCGGCGTTAGGACTTTAAAGCACAAAGCTTACAAATAATTTTGAGTTTGTCATACTGCCATGAGGAAGATTGTTAACCAGGTGAAAACATTTAATGGAAGCTTTTATCTTTATAACAGTGAGAACCATAAAATCACCCGTTGCAAAGCATCCAAACTGCAAACAAAGAGTTCTGGCTCTTATCCTATAGACCCGGTTTAGTATCTTTAACATCAAGTCGGACAATTAGAAAACAAAATGCATAAATTATGGATCGTTGAGGATTAAACACAGCAAACCAGCTGTCTAGAATGGTGCTGAGAGGCTGATGATATTGCATGTGTTGGGTTCATAGACAAAGGATATGGGCATCTTGTTAGTCACAGTAAAAAAAAAAAAGTTTGGAGTAGTGGAAGGAAACGGTCTGGACATCGACTATCAGAACCACAAGACTTCTGGTCATATGCATAAGAGCAAAATAGAGATTCTCTATTTTACTATTTTTATGCATGACGGTGTGCTCAGCATGTGAGACGGACGGACTGATGAAGTTATTGGTACCAGTGGCGCAACTGCACATTATTCAGGTGGATGCAAAGACATAAATCCCCCCCCCCCCCACCCCCTCCCCCCCCCCAGCACGACCCCCCCCGCACGCAACCAAGTCCC